GCCGAGATGATGTACTCCGGCCAGATGAGTTGATGATTTGCTCAACTCTGAAGTTTCGGCCAAGATGATGTACTCCGGCCATATGAGTTGATGATTTGCTCAACTCTGAAGTTTCAGCCGAGATGATGTACTCCGGCCAAATGAGTTGATGATTTGCTCAACTCTGAAGTTTCAGCCGAGATGATGTATTCTGGCCAAATGAGTTGATGATTTGCTCAACTCTGAAGTTTCGACCGAGATGATTTACTCTGACCAAATAAGTTGATGATTTGCTCAACTCAAAGCTCTAGCCGAGATGCTTTATCCCGACGGAAAGCTCAGAGAATGGCGGTGCGAACAACCGTGGAAGAGATCTAGGGAGTTTGGTTTTGGAAGACGTCAGTCAGAAGGCCGAGGAAAAGGGGCAATTGACAATCATTTTGGTGGAAAGACCAGAGTTCCTTGCCGAGCTGATCTTGCTCGCCAAGAAGGAAGTCGCGGAGCGGACCTTGCTCGCCTTCCTTGGAGTTCCTTGCCGAGCTGATGTTGCTCGCCAAGAAGGAAGTCGTAGAGCGGACCTTGCTTGCCTTCTTTGGAGTTCCTGGCCGAGCTGATCTTGTTCGCCAAGAAGGAAGTCACGGAGCGGACCTTGCTCGCCTTCCTTGGAGTTCCTTGCCGAGCCGATCTTGCTTGCCAAGAAGGAAGTCGCGGAGCGGACCTTGCTCGCCTTCTTTGGAGTTCCTTGCTGAGCTGATCTTGCTTGCCAAGAAGGAAGTCGTGGAGCGGACCTTGCTCGCCTTCTTTGGAGTACCTTGCTGAGCTGATGTTGCTCGCCAAGAAGGAAGTCGCGGAGCGGACCTTGCTCGCCTTCCTTGGAGTTCCTCACCGAGCTGATGTTGCTCGCCAAGAAGGAAGTCGCGGAACGGATCTTGCTCGCCTTCTTTGGAGTTCCTTGCCGAGCTGATCTTGCTCGCCAAGAAGGAAGTCGTGGAGTGGACCTTGCTCGCCTTCCTTGGAGTTCCTTGCCGAGCTGATCTTGCTCGCCAAGAAGGAAATCGCGAAGAGGACCTTGTTCGCCTTCTTTGGAGTTCCTTGCCGAGCTGATCTTGCTCGCCAAGAAGGAAGTCGCGGAGCGGACTTTGCTCGCCTTCTTTGGAGTACCTTGCTGAGCTGATGTTGCTCTCCAAGAAGGAAGTCGCGGTGCGGACCTTGCTTGCCTTCTTTGGAGTTCCTTGCCGAGCTAATCTTGCTCATCAAGAAGGAAGTCGCGGAGCGGACCTTGCTCGCCTTCCTTGGAGTTCCTTGCCGAGCTGATCTTGCTCGCCAAGAAGGAAGTCGCGGAGCGGACCTTGCTCGCCTTCTTTGGAGTACCTTGCCGAGCTGATGTTGTTCGCCAAGAAGGAAGTCGCGGAGCGGACCTTGCTCGCCCTGTTTGGAGTTCCTTGCCGAGCTAATCTTGCTCGCCAAGAAGAAAGTCGCGGAGCGGACCTTGGTCGCCTTCTTTGGAGTTCCTTGCCGAGCTAATCTTGCTCGCCAAGAAGGAAGTCGCGGAGCGGACCTTGCTCGCCTTCTTTGGAGTTCCTTGCCAAGCTGACCTTACTCGCCAAGAAGGAAGTCGCGGAGCGGATCTTGCTCGTCTTCTTTGTAGTTCCTTGTCGAGCTGACCTTGCTCGCCAAGAAGGAAGTCGCGAAGCGGACCTTGCTCGCCTTCTTTGGAGTTCCTCGCCGAGTTGATTTTGCTCGCCAGGAAGGCAAGTTGAGGCTTCAGCCAAGGAAGCCAAGAAACCGAGCAAGAGGAATAGCGCGGTTGATGTCTTGCAAACTAAGGACCGAGGAAGAGTCTATCCCGGTCAAATTATGTAATCCTAGTCACGCTTGCGCGGACGGAATTAAGGGGCAATTGTGAGGGAGATTTATGAGCTGAATTGGGCCGTGGTAAAGGCCAGGCAAATTGTGGGCCGTGGTAATGGCCGGGCAAATTGTGAGTCGAACACAATTGGGCCGTAGTAGCTTGGGCCTGTCCAGAAGGGTTTTTGCTTGGTTAAGGCACAGGGCATGTGGGACCGAGCTATTTGGCTTGTTGGTGCGGAAACCGGTCTACTGGGAGTTCGGTCGAGATGTCTGCCTGTCTCCATGGGTTTCGTAGTTCATGCGTTAGCTCGGCAGGAAGACCGACGACTAACCGGCTCGACCTACCTCGAGCTTGGCTTACCGGAATGCAGCTGAGTTCGGCTGTACAGGAGCTCGGCGAGTGGTTCATTAAGGTATGCCGCAGCGCGGTCAGGAGAAACCGAGGAGGTTCCAACGATCTGTCGAGCTCCGTCGAGGTATCCTAACAGTTTGGTTAGGTGGTGATTACTGGATTTGTGCTGACAGATGGGATAGCAGCACCACGTGTCGAGAGACTAATGGGAGTAGATTTGGAGCGTAGAAGGTATGTAAGCGAGTCTGTGCCCCTCATGCCTGGACAGATGACATTTTGGTGAGATAAACACTAAACACAATTGAGTCCTCTCTCTCCCTCTATCCTTGTGTGTGTGTCTAACTTGATCGTCGGAGGGATTTTCCGGCCACACACCGCCGGGTAGCTCACCGCCGTTGTGCTCGCAAGTCAGTCGGACAGACAGGAGCTTGGAAGAAAGGAGTGCGGGCTTGCCTGTATATTTGCTCCCCGCACAGATATCCACACTTTTTAGAACATGTCAACCTCAATAGTTCCCCCTTGATCTTCCTGTTGTCTCTATAGTAACCACATCTTTCACAAGTAAGTGTAAGTCTTGGTTTTTTGCCATTATCTCTCGCATCTGATGTCTTTATAACAATGACAAATCCAGTCTTCTTCCTAACGTTAGAAGCCCATTTAATTAATGTTTGACGACTACTAAAAATCTAAACATAATTAATACATTTATATGCCAAATTATTAATAAAACTCAATACAAATTAAAAATAAGAAAAAATTGCATTCATAAAAACACTCAACAAATCTCGTTTGTAATGAATTTATGACTGGAGTTCACTAATAATACAATACTTGTGTTGTTGTAATGAGTATAAGTATAATCCTTCCAAGCAAAAAAATAAAAAATATATAAAAAAAAACTGAAAATACATAGTAATGAGTAGCCGAACAAATTAAAAAATTTGGCCTTATATTATCGGAAATGTATCTTTTATTCGACATTTGGTTACCAAACTTTAAATTTTTGTTCAGCAATGTAATGCCGGACTATTTTATTTTTTTCGATTTCGAAACACCGAACAAAAATCAAAGAACAGTATAGAAAAATGAAAACAAAAACCTACCACACAAATAAAAAAAACTCACAATTTCACTTTTTTTATAGTTCTTCACCACTATTTCTTCATCCATTGCTTTATTTGATGATTAAAATACTAAGGCCATGTTTGTTTGGGTGGACATGAGTTTGGGATTGGACTAATAGTCTAATAAAATTATTAATCCGATGTTTGGTTAAACAATTGAAGTACGGACTAATTATTTTAAACTTGACTATTAGTTAAGATAAGATACATAATCCAACGGATTCGTAGTCCTAGGACTATTAGTCATGGGAATGCTAATCCAGTCCGCCCAAACAAACATGGCCTATGATTCTTACTTTTTGAAAAGAGACGTGCAAGAGAAAAGAAAAATTGAGAAAAAAGAGTAGGGATTGAAGACTAAAGGGTCTAAGGAGATAATAAATATATTTAGTTTTTGTGTTTTGTTTTTAAAAGTAATTTCACACATGGATAAAATTGAAAGAAAAAAAAGCTCATAAAGAGGGTGTAAAGAGGTAAAGTAGTGGTGTAAGTAAAATAACCCAAAATATAAACACATCTATTAAAATTGGTTTAAAATATACATTGTTTTCATAATTTTAAAAATTACAAACAACACATTATCAAAAAAAATTTATTTAACAAAATTAATGAAAAAATTAAAAATTAATTAATCTTTTATATAATAATAAAATTATTTGAATTGTTAAATTAATATTATTAAAAAATTATTAATTAATTTTATAATTTATTAATAAACCTAAACAATTTATTACGTGATTAGGAACTTAACGGTAAGAAATGCAGTTTTTAAAATTACAGAATTATTCGTATTTTAAATAAATTGTATTTGTAATTTATTAAATAAAAAAAAAAGGAAAGTGTGGAATCAGGGGATGATGAGGATCGGAGAGAGTTAGCTAACTCACACCAATTGTGTGGGTCCACATGATAGAAAAATTATGTAATGGTCTTGGGCATTGCCGTATAATGCCTCAACAACATAATTGTTTGAAACTATAAAATTCAATTTTTTGGCTCCATTTGGGATATATATTTAGACTAAAATAATTATATAGGATAAAATTGTTTATTTTAGTTAAATAGGATAAAATATCACACTCAATCTATAACTATTTCATTTTTTCTCACATAAAAATCAAAAAATAAATCTCAAACGAAATTTTTTAATCTCAAATTAAAATAATCAAACACCTAAAAAGCAAGTCACATCCAAAACAAAACTCTTTATTAGTTTGGTAAAAGACAACTTGATAAGGATAGTCTCTAGTGGTATGAAACAATACCCCCTTTGCCACACAATAACCTATAGAGAGGTGAAAATCTAGTTGTCTTGACCCGACCCATGTCGAGGCTCGTAGGTTCCTGTCAAAATTTGAGTCGGGCCTCGTCGGTCCAAGGGTCAAAAAATTAGACTCAGGCTTAAGGATATTCAGGTCTTGGACGGATCGGTGGACTGAGCCTTTTTCGAAATTAGGCGGGCTTAATCATTTTTTTTATTTTTTTAAATTTTTTTAATTAAAATTTTATTATTTTTTCCTAAGAAAAATATTAGATTTCAGGCAAGTCGGCCTTAAGTCCGACCTTAAGCGGGTCGATGGATCAAGTCAACAGACCAAATCAAAATTCAAAATGACGACCCAAATTCAGAGACTTGAACTGTGCTCAGACCCAAATCCAAACAGGTTATTCCGAATCGCGAGCAGATTTCGGGCCGCAGATCATTTTTAAACTAATAAACCTCGCCCACATGATATCCATAAGTGGGTCGATTCCATGTAAACAGTTGGTAGAGCACGGGACCTTGTCCCCTCCGGAGTTGAATATCCCACCGACGATGAATACCCCTTTTCACTCCCACTCACGGAACGAAGGAAGGAAGGAAGGAACGCATTATTATTATTCCACACAAACATCGCTGCACCACAGTCCACCACTCACTTTCTCACTCACATCGAATATGTAAACTCTCTCCACCTTCTCTATTTCTCTCGAATCTTCATCATCATCATCGCTTTTCTTCACCCCTAACACATCCGTACCTTCCACGGCAATGGATTCGATTGTCTTCTTCGATCCTCTCGCCCTCGCTCGCTTTCCCGCCGCACATCGCCGCCGCCACCACCACCACCACCACCACCACCGCCGTCATCATCACTTTCAGTTACCTTTAACCCTCACGCATCAAAAACTCCTCCAGCTGCACCGACGACCTTCTCGCATCTCTCGCCGACGGTTCGGCGATCTCGTTGCTTCCGCCGCCGACTCCGGCATGAGCAATTCCTCGCCGGTCAGTAACCTCTCTCTCTCCACGAGCACAAGTAGATCTTTCTCTGGTTTTGGCTCTTACTCTTTGATTTTTGCAGCCAAGGGGTGGGGTTTACACAGTCGGTGATTTTATGACAAAGAAGGAAGACTTACATGTTGTGAAAACCACGACAACTGTTGATGAAGGTATAATTAAGATTGATATGTTATTTCTGTTGTAAATATCGTTTTTTTTTCTTTCACTATCTCATCACTGGCCTTGTTATCGACAGCTCTCGAGACTCTTGTGGATAAAAGAATTACCGGCTTTCCTGTGATTGATGATGATTGGAAATTGGTAATGTTATTGTCCGTATCTGTTTTATTTATTTATTTATTTATTTTTTAAGATGCACATACAACAAATCAAATTGTGAGGTTCTAGATATTGGATTTTGTGGTTGATGATTTGTCTGATTATATTATTGTCTAGCAGATACAGCTCCTTGTGGACTGGACACAACAAATTTTTTTTTTTTTCAAATTATACAAGTTAATTTTCTCTGAGAATTATGATATAAATGTTGTGATTGGTGTGTCCACATGTGTCACTCTAGTTTTCAATAGAATTGTATTTGATTGTATATTTAGGTGAGGAAGTGATTATAATTGTCATTATGGACACCTATAAATTTCATGGCCAAGAAATGGTAAATTTCCTGCTTGAAATTTGAAAGGATTTGTGAATGAATTTTTTTGGCCATGAATCTCGTCCTAATCCTGTATTGGGAAAAGAAGATGAAGCATGTGACTTCCTTTATGAAATGTTCAGCATGAATTGAAAATCTTTAGCTATTATGAATTTTTCTTTGGAAATTAAGAACTTGAGAAGCAAACAATATGTGATGTGTGATTCAAGAGCTATCTTGGATGAAATTTGGTTTGTTCTTTTGCTTTATATAAATCCAGCTGCCTAAAGCATGTTACTCATGTGCAGGCTGGCTTTAAATCAAGTTGTCAACGTAAGTAGCACAATTTGACTACTAACTTACGGCAGAAGAATCAGATACTGTTCTTTAAAATATGCATTTACAGTGCACTTTCGTGGTAGAGTTAACCATCTATTATTAGATTAGAAGAATATGCAACAAGGGGTGGGATGTTTAGGCTGTGGAGGAGAGAGAGGATGCACCTTCATTGCTCTACAGTGTAATGGCGGTGGGGGGGATATATAAAGAAGTGCTCATTTGATTATGATACAAGAAGTTCATGCTGATTATGCTAATGAGGCTTCATGTTTACAATTAAAGTTTGTTATTTGTAAGTTACTTGATTGGCTAGAATTGGGATAAGTTAAAATGAAGTAGGCAATTAAGTATGCAAATTGATTACAATTTTTTTTTTTCAATGTATGGTATTGAATAGGCAAACTATGACCTATTTTCATCTCTTGGGTTATATGTAATTAGATTATGCATGCATGCTTCATGTTGTTATTATATTCCAGCTTTGATGTTCCAGTTGAGTGAGGCTTTGTGTAAACTTCTGACTCTGTAGCTTTCCTCTTTGGTCACCTTCATTGCTTCTTGTCCCCTCTTTTAGATACCTAGAGTGTACGGCTACATGGTAGATCAGACTATTGTACTTTCCAATTATAAAAATGGAAGTTGTATATGGTAAATCAGGCCACTTTTGGTCACCTTCATTGCTTCTTTGTTTCAATTGGTTGATATTCCCTCGAAGTGGTATCGGTAAATGATGAGGCAAAGTTTGAATTTTGAGAAAGAAAACCATTTCACTTTCTCTTTGTGTAACTTTTTAAAGTAGGTTGACTCTATTTGATTAAAAGTATGTTGTGGCTGCAGGTTGGTGTTGTTTCAGACTATGACTTGTTAGCACTCGACTCTATCTCAGGTATCATTCCAGATTTAACTTTTCTCTGGGAAAATTTTGTTATTTGTTGGTTTCTGGTTTTTAATATGTTTGGTATCAAGAATTCTAGTTATTTAAGTGTGGGCATCATTGTCATTATTGTGAGGTGTCTTTCTTGTTTACATAATATCGCTCTGTATATATGGTCTGGTGATTTTTCCATTTTCTTTGATAGTTAGATTGGTGCTGTTTGTACACTCTGTCATTATTAGCTGCTTACCATTGATCAACTCTCGTAGAGATTCTGTTTAGTGGTCTTTGTATTCATTCTTCCCAAAGAATTCAAAACAGTTATGTGTTCTATTTCTGGCTATTAGGTGGTGGTCAAGCAGATGTAAACCTGTTTCCTGATGTTGATAGCTCCTGGAAAGTACGTAAGAGAACTCCTCTATGATTGCTCATGCTCTCATGCTAGTTTTGCCACTTTCTCCATTATCAGTTTCCATGTACTATATATTTTTGTAACAAATTGTGGAATGTTGCTGTTGTGATTCTGGTGATAGGCATTACACAATCATGTATAGCTTTGATCTTAGTTGCACAAATTGGGGGGCGGGGATGGGAGTGGAAGCGGGAGTGAGGGCAAGAGGGGGCATATAAAAGTTTCTAACAATCATTGTTTTCTACTTAGTTCTAATATATGTAATAAAATATGAATAAATATTAGAGATTGATGTCAACTAATTATATATATATATATATATACAGTAACTATTAGAATAAGTTGATTTTCTTTTGTTTCTATGAGATTTGTATATTTGAGAGGTTCTATCTCAGTTGGGATTACGTTTCTTATAGGTTTTTTACTTGGGAGTATGCTATGATGCAAGGACACCTTTCCGAGGGCTCCGTACTAGTGTCGGACACGGACACGGACACGCGTCAAACACGCGGTGGACACGTGTCCGACACGCAGCAGAAAGTGTCCTATTTTTTTTTTTTTGAATTTTTTACATCCAGACACGTTCCGGACACGTTAGGACACTGTCGGGACACATTCGGGGGTCAATTTCATAATTTATAAAACTTCATTAGGGTCGATTTGTAAAAAAAATAAACAGAACATATTTGCCCTGAATCGAAATCGAGTTAGAACAGAAGACAGAGAGAACAGAAGAAAACAGAAGAGAAAGAGAGAAGACCTGGTCGCTCGTTGTCGCTCATCGTCCGTCGTCAGTCGTCATCTAAGGTACACCTTCGCTGATTTGCTTCATTCTTCTTCTTCGTTCTTCGTTCTTCTTCTTCTTCTTCTTCGATCATCTTATTTTTCTCCGATCTCTGTCTCAGTCTCCGTTGCTGTCTCTCTCTCTCTCGCTCGCTCTTGCAGTCACCCTCTCTATCTCATTTTATTTTTTCTTTTCTTTTATTTTTTCTTTTATATGGTGAGTGACTAACATCAGTCTCTCTCTCTCTCTCTCTCTCTCTCTCTCTCTCTTTTTTTTTTTCTCTTTTTTCTCTCTGTACCTCTATTATTTGAGTATGTAAATTTTTTTTTTTGATTAGTTTTGTTAATGATATATATAATGTTAAATCAACTAAATGTTTGTTTTTTATAATTTTAATAGTGTTATTTTGTATTTTTTATTACCTTTTAATGATTTTTTAATAATTTTATGACATATAATAAATAAAATTAATTATATATATTGAACGTATCCCCAGCGTGTCGTGTCCCTCATTTTTTGAAAATTTACGTGTCCCCGTGTCCGTGTCCGTGTCCGTGTCCGTGTCGTGTCGTGTCACATGTCCATGCCCATGCTTCATAGAGAGCATGGAATCGGATTTCTTAAGGAAGGAATACCACCCGAGCAAGACGTTTGTGGGTATCTATACTATACTTGGCACGTGGCGAGCCCTACAGGCGTCACGTCAGCACCATTACACATCCACGTGGCAGACCCTGAGGCACCACGATGTGTATGTCATCACCATCACGCATCTACGTGGTAGACCCCTGAGGCACCACGATGAGTCAAGATTGTATGCCTAGCCTAAGCGGGGCCATGCACACCACCAAGAATGAAACAAGGTCGCATGGAGCTAGCTCACTTAGAGCTCTTCATGGCCCTTCATAACTCAAGAAATGCATTATCTACCCACTCACCCAACTCCATAGCAATACAGCCGGACTCTTGGCTCACCTATGTTTAAAAGATATCATTAAGTTCTTAAATGATTATCTACATCTTGCAACAAAGTCAGGACGATTATTTATTGGGGAAGAGTTGTCCTCTAAGCTTTGGTCAAAAATGCCAGGTGACCTTGGAGAACGAATCAAGAAAGGATTTGCAGAACGACATGGAGCAAATACAATTGGCGGAAGGATCCAGATGATTATCGGGTGCAACTTCATTCGAGCAATGTATGGAGGTGTGCGTATTGAAGGAGACAATGTTACATTCTACAAGAATGTAATAACAATTCAGACCCGTCAATCAGTAAATCTTCTGGAAGGATTTGAGGAAGAGGAGGATTTTACGGTGGATTATTACTATGAGCCTTCACCTGAATGGCTATTTCATTCCACTACAAGTATCATTCCTCATTTTGGACATCAATTTGAGAAGTTAATGGAGCAGCTCAAGACTTGTGGAATCATAGGCGAAGATCCTATGAAGTACTGGTCACACAATCAGATTACCTGCAAATTGGACCTGAAGAATCCTATTGATTGAAGGACCATGTCCCGTTGCTGGTGGATAACCTGGGGGAGCCATCATGGAATCCTGCGGAGGATTATAATGAGAGGTTACAGCTGATGATGAGGACAAAAGATAATGAGGCTGCTGCTGTTGCCGCTTTTCAATCAAAGCCTTCAATTTGGCAATTTGCGGGTACTCTGTCTCTGCTTCTTCCTCTATTTCCTCCATCATAGCGATTATGTTAAGAGTAGAATCAGATTCTTCTTCTTCATGTTGATACCCCAAAGGATCATGATACTCCAAAGAATCATCTGAATCTTCATCCCTGTACTCCAAGGCAGCTTTCCCTGTGCTTCCAAATCCTTCAGTGCTCCTCCAGTTGCTTCCAAGGTTTCCAATTCCCAGACGAAACTCTCAAGGAAACTAAGGGCCTTCGCTCTTGGTTGGGCCTTCTTAATTATGCCAGGCATTATATTAAGGATTTGGGCCGCTTGCTAAGCCCATTATATTCTAAGGTCAGCCCAAACGGAGAGAAGAGACTTAATGCCCAAGACTGGGATTTAGTCCATAAGATCAAAGCTCGGATCCAGAAACTACCAGATCTGTCAATTCCTCCATCACAATGTGTTATCATTCTTGAAACCGATGGATGCATGGAAGGGTGGGGAGGAATCTGCAAGTGGAAACTAGCTGCTAAGGATCCTCGATCTACAGAACAAATTTGTGCATACGCTAGTGGAAAATTCAATCCGATTAAATCCACTATTGACGCTGAAATTTACGCATGCATGAATTCCCTATTGATAACTCGAGGACTAGTCGGAAGATTATCCAACACTCCAAACGTTGGATTTGCATATGAAATTCAAGGAGTAACTGAATTTCTAACATCTCGAGGAGTCAAAGCCATACCAGGAGAACAAGTTCCCACTGATGTCTTACGAGGTCGCAATTGGATCATAAGACCACCAGCCAGAAGGGTACATCCTCAACAGCCAACAACTGCTGTTTCTCGAAATTTGCCAGGAGGCAATTTCAGCCTACGATTTGGAGATTATGTAGCTGCTCAACGTGCAGATCCAGTTCATTATGATGTAAATGATAATGAAACTATGCAATCTGACGATGACACTCACTCTATTCAGAATGAATCTCGCAATCGGCAAGAAACACTGTTATTCTTTGAAGAACAACCGAATGTTTTCAAAGAAACTCTGGAACAAGCCAGTACCCGACATCCAGACACCCGTTATGCAGAGTATCACCGACGAACGGAAGGTGGTGAAAGGAGGAGGAAATCAAAGGGGTGATATCTCATCATACCCTAAGCTGATTATTCAAAGCTTCACATTAATCTCTACTGGTATAGCCATGGAGATACCTTGTGGTCTTTATGGCCGCATTGCCCCAAGGTCTGGGCTTGCTCTAATTCATGGAATAGATGTCGGCGCAGGAGTAATTGACCCTGATTATAGAGGAGAAGTTAAGGTACTCCTTTTTAATCATAATCGGGAAGAATTCATAGTACGTGCCGGTGACAGAATCGCTCAAATCATCTTCGAGAAAGTTTTAACATTAAATAAAGCAGAATAAATCATTCAATCAACAGAGGCCTTCACTACCCTGATAAGTGTTTACGCTACAATAGCCATATTAACTAGCTCTGATACCAATCATAGGATCTAGTAATAAGCAAAGAACTAGATAGAAACTTACAGAAATTTATTACAGAGAGCGGAAGCTTCTTTCTTTACTTTTTATATTTAGAAACTTTAACAGCCTTTGCCTTGGTTAATATACGATTACCTTTGCCCTGGCAGGATGCTCATAACAACATATAGTTTTAACATTAAATAAAGCAGAATAAATCATTCAATCAACAGAGGCCTTCACTACCCTGATAAGTGCTAGTTCTTTAGTAGATGGCTTTTCAGTTAAGGCAAGATCAAGGTAGTTTAGGCGTGAAGTCTCAGATTTTTCATACCATTCTCTAATGTTTTGTTCCCATATATTTGTCATAGCATTTCTACTGGTCTGAGTAAGAATATATTAACTAGTCTGAGCTGTCTGGATTACCAATTTACCAAAAGGAAGCGCTATAGACTATATTTAAATCTCAAGGTCCAAGTAGTCCTTACCAGTTAATTTCTTTGTTCACCACAGGGTTTCACTGGACTTACTCCTCTCTGCCAGATATAGGGCCTGTGTCTTTTACTTAAAATTTAACTTCAAGGATTATACTGCCTTTACAAACTTAAGACTCTATTTATAGACCCTAAGAGATAAGATCAGAATAAGATTGAGGATACGTGTAAGGATTGATCTTCACGATCGCGAATCTTATCAGAAACCTTATCATTCTAAGAGAGAACCAGAACCTCTCCTTTTTACAAAAATATCTCTAATAAGACATAATCAAAGAGATAAGGGATAAAACATGGCAATTGATGTTAAATCATGCTTCTTTGTACTTCCCTTTTCTTCTTAGTTCTTGTTCATCATCCTGTAGCTGAATAGTTAACTTGAGCTCTTCAAGTTCTGTTTTGTATTGAATAGCTTCCTCCCGAAGCCTTTTCATCTCAGCTTCACACCATCGGATGTACTCTTGTTGCTCCTGTAGCAGCGGCTTTTGGTTGTAGGGAATTGGAGCCCTCCGAGTAATGAACGTAGTGAGGTTGAAGTAATGCTTGGCACATAGTGCACATGTTAAAGCATTACATTTACCACAAAAAGCCTTCGAGTATGAGGATAGATCTCTCTTACATGT